GCCGTGCGCCTCGTGCAGCACCTGCGCAAGCACCGCGTGCCGATCGCGGTCGCGACGGGCTCGCAGCGCCGCAACTACGTGCAGAAGAGCGCGCACCTCATGGACGTGCTCTTCGGCTGCTTCGAGGGCCGCGTCGTCTGCGCGGACGACGGCCTCGTGCGCCCCGGCCGCGGCAAGCCGTGTCCGGACGTGTTTCTCGTCACGGCGAGGACGTGCCTCGGGAGGGAAGTAGGGGGAGCTGGAAGATGACGACCGCGAAGTAACGGAGGAGCAGAGGGCGGGGCGGAGGGAGGGTCTTGTATTTGAGGATGCTATTCCGGGCGTGCAGGCCGGGAAGAGGGCCGGCATGAATGGTAAGCAAAACGAATCCCTTCTTTTAATCCCGCGATTGACTGAGCAACCGTTCCAGTCGTATGGGTACCTGACCCGAACCTCGTCGCTCTTGGTACGAATGATAACGCAGATGCGACCACATCACTCTCCACTGTTGAGCAACCAGACCAAACACTGAAGACGCTCGAGGATTTCAAGCCCGAGGAATGGGGGCTACCACCATACGACCCATAGATAGATCGATATCACTAAAAATGTACAAATATCAATAGAAATTCGAGAGTCCAGCTAACAAAAGCAACTATAAGGGGGTATCGAGCACGTAAGAAAGTGCAGCCAGTAGCTTATATGGTATCCAAATGACAAGAAGCGGTCCCTGCCTACCCCACAATAATTTACTGGCCCGAGGACTCGCCACCCTCGCCACCCTCAGCATCAGCCTGCCCCTCCTCCCTCTTCGCCTCCGCGTCCTGATCCTGGTTCTCCCTCGCGCGCTTCGCATCCTCCTCGACCACAGCCCTCATGTCCCCCGTCGTGACACCCTCCGCCCCACTCACGCCACTCACGCTGCTCCCCGCACTGCTCGCGCTGCCCGCACTGTCCGCGCGCACGAGCCTCTCGCCCTTCTGCGCCTTGGCCTTCTTGCGCGCCTCCTTCCAGCGCTTCAGGCGCTCGTCGAACGCGTTCAGCGTCGTGACGCGCCCGAGCGCGCCGAGGTTGCGCGGCGACGCGAGGTACGCGTGCAGCACCGGCAGCAGGTCCGCGCGCGGCCGGTACGTCCCCGAGTCGTTGTCGATCACGAGCTCGTACAGCGCCGGGTCGTCCGGCGGGTCCGCCTCGTTGAAGTGCTCGTCTTCGGCCTGTTCGTGCACGTCGTGGGTGCGGCCGTGGTCGTGATCTTGGCCGTGATCTTGGTCGTTATTGTGGTCCCGGTCGTCGGTATGCGTGTTCTCCGCGGGCTCGGGCGCGCCAGGCGACGGATCCTTGGCGGCGGTGCGGTGATACCGCAGGGGGCGCACGAAGAATTCGCCGCTGTATGCGATCTCGATGGTGACGTCTGAGTGCATCGTGTGCTTGCTGAGGAACTCGATGGCCATCTGGTCTCCGGTTTCCTGGACGCCCAAAGTCAGCGTCGATTTAGCAGCAAGAACGCGGTGCATATACTCACAGTAAACCGCCACTCGCCGTCCAGCATGATGACGTACGTGAATATACGGCCATACGTCCCATACGATGTCATGCGGAGGAACTGACGAGCCATGGCGATGGAATCGCTGCTGATCTTCTCGTCTCTTCCGTCCGCGCTGTCCTTGTTCTTCGCGCCTTCTCCGTCTTGCGCTCGGTCCTTCTCCTCGCCCTGCGGGTCCTCATTATCATCTCCAATGACACCCCACACAACATTCTTGTCCCACTTGTAAATCTCCATATGCTGCTTGTGCAGCGTGTGATGCAGAATGAGGCCGCGGATGCCTTTCCGGCGGAACATCGCTTTCACGAAGGGCGCGAAGCCGACATAACGGTGGCGAAGGAGAGAGGGAATTGGTCCCGCGAGCTGCAGACGGTTCGCAACGAATGCGGTGGGTTTGACGAGGGTGTTACGGTCACCGCTGTCCGGAGAGTTGGTCGAGCCGAGCAACTTGCCTATCAGAGGGGAGAAGTGTCGGACGTATTTGCCTGCACGCACGGGAAAGACGTCAGAATTGACCAATCAATAAGAGAAGAGGCAGAGACGTACGGGGCCCAACAGTGTACATGCGCCGGTCCTTCTGGTCCTCCGCTTTGCCCATGACCTCGCAGCGCACCCACAACCGCACCCGGTGCCCGACGTCTCCTCTTGTTAGGACATTCGCCGTGCACGTAAATAGCTTGCTCATGATGCTCCCTCTGCGCTTGTGCACCTTGTATTCCCTGTCGCCCGACCGCCAGCCCTCTGCGAGCACGCCCTCGCCCGCATTCGGCATGCGCAAGACGGTCTTGCCGAGGTCGTCGTCGTAGTTCCCCGGATCCTCGTCGCGTAGCCGCACGGAGAGCAGGAAGCCCGATTGGGGGATGCCGGACACGACCCAGTGCGCATTGAACTCTGGGTCCAGCGTCCGCCGGCACGTCTGGGTGCGGTAGGTGAGCATCTGGGGGATGCCATCGGGCTGTTCCAGACCCTTCTCGGCGGTGAGCGTCGCCTGGAGGTACGGGTCGCAGGACAGGTCGTTGAAGTCGGCGACTGGGACGCTGGTGGCTTTTATGAACGTGATCTTGCAGGTGTAGAGCGTTTCATCAGAGGTCATCTCGTCGAGTTATCGTGCGAGATTAGGGTGTGCCGCACGTCGACAATGTTTTCGAAGATACAGAAAAGAGGTGGGTGTAGATTGGTTGCAAAGGGATATGTGAAGCACGGCGAAGATGCAGCAGCATTTCTAGCCAATTGGTTTCGAGAGAGACGCGATGACGTCTTGGCGGCGGGGGTTATTTATTTTTGTGGAAAGCTCCCCTTCCTATGGCAATCGCCGAGCTACTCCTCACTATCATCACACAGGCGCTCAACGTCTGCGAGCACTGGGGTACTGTGAATAGCGATACATTGATAGAGCGGGCTGACTTGGGTTGGAGATACAAGCGAGTAATTTGTAAAAGCGTTCAGTACTCACCCAGTACGCGACATCATGCGCGGGAAGAATTTCACTGTGGTGAGAGATTGTACATCACCTTCGGTGTCCGACCGGCAAAGCCCGGGCGCGGGCGCGCTACCAGTAGAACGAGACCGCACTCGCACCTCTACTACCACCACCATCTCATTCTACAATGGCAAAATTCAAGTTTATATTATATTACCCGCTTCCTGAGACACCGATTACTGCATTAGCAGAGCGTGAGGATATTCAGACGAGTGACATACAGCAACTTCTCAGAAACGCGAAGCCTCCACTCCCCCATCGACTTGAACGACGTCACTCTCCTCAAGGTATGGACATATACGCTTCGCTTTGGATTAACGCTCACAAGCGACATCAGCCGTCTGACCCGCGGTATACATCTCGCCAGCGCACAGCCCTCTGGGTTACTGAAGTGGATTCAGACTAATTACGAATTTATCGAACACGTCGACAAGCAGATGCGCCGCTTTAGTTCGGTGGCTAAATACTTCCTTCACCCGGAGGAGCGAACCACTGGCCGCAACAACCTGCTTATTGATATCCTTGTAATTTATCCCGAGGGTACGTGTTCTCTGGCTGTCAACCGTGCCTGCAGCTGACGACGCGGACGACGATATAGTCATAGAGGCTATGGACACGCTAGGCAAACTGCCATTAATCCCTTCACGCATCTTGACAAGTGCGCTGTTCTCGACATTTTACAGTATTTTGTCTCCTGACCTTCGTGGTTATGACAGAGTGCTGCGGGGAACGCGACCAGCCCGCGCCACCACCCTCAGATAGCGTCAAGGACGTGTCTGGCATACGGATCGCACTTTGCGGCGCACAGGCAACGGTCCACGGCGGTCGGCCAATAAACAACTATGGTCCGCCCCCTGCTCCGTTCCATCCTGCATTCGCCATGTTTGACCACCATTGACGTCACCTGGATGGCGACGTGGAAGAGCTGATGCCTGATAATTCACTACTTCATCGCACACATAGTTTCGTCCAATCAGCCCCGAGATATATCATACTGACTTTTCCGTCTGGCGTAAATGTTCAAGGCGGTCGTCATTGCGATCAGCTCCATCCAGAAACACTATCTCCGTCTCTTCCGTCTCGAGAGGACGCCGTCGAATCCAGACAACATTGCACATTTATTCCCGTCTCCGGCTCTTCGCGATGGCGACCCGTTCTCGGATCGGCTGGTTTTCGAGTGCAGGCTGTCTCGAGCCAGTGCTCGTTTCATCTTCCCTAGGGGTGCAGGTGATCGAGGAGATTTCCACGACCATGTACGCCCAGGAATGTCCAAGCTATACCCGAGTACCATATCTTCGGGGTCCAGTACGCAAGAGGCGGTCCACGATGATATACGTTCGAGGTTATGTGTCGCATCCATGTCACGCCCAAGTACCGCCGCCGCATTCGCTGCTTCATCTTCGGGTCTATGTCCTCGGTCGAAGTTCTGGTCAACTTTACCCCGCGCTACAACGTCAGGGTCCACCGGATACCGCCTCACGCAGGCTTCACGCCGCGGCTGTACTCGTGCTTGCGAGTGCATGGGGAGCTGTACATGGTCTTGATGGAGTACTTCCCTAGCGAGAATAGTGTGGTACCTCAAGGAAGCAAGCATGTCTCTTCCGCGGTCGCTCTACGCAGACGTCGACACAGCGATCTAAACGCTGCATGAGGCGAGCATTGTTCTTGGCGGCCTCGGTCTACCGAACATCACGTGTGTGCCGGGGTCGGACAGGTCGCCAGAGGCCCGGACGGTCTGCGGGCGAAGCTTGTGGAATTCGGCTGGGCAGGCACCGACGGCGAGGGCAGGTACCCGGCGACTCTGAACCACGGGCTGGACGACTGGACGGGTTCGGACGGTATGAGGTGATGCGCAAGGAGTACGATCTCGCGCAACTTGGGCGAGTACGAGAGGTGTGCAAGTAGTCGCCTGATGTGCGTGCAAGCGTCGTTAGCCTTGGCGATTGCATCTACGTCTTCGCATCCACGCTGTTTCATTCACCTTTGTTGTTGCTCATGGCCTGCATGCTTTTGCCATTCACGTCCGTTGCACGACACGAACGTCGTTTCCGTTTGGACCATGTTTGGCATATCTGTAGTATAATGTAGTATAATGACGACAATATATCTTCCATCGTTCTCTTTCCGCCTGCGTCTTTCCGCTTGCGAGGCCCAACTTGAAACGGCCAGCCTTTCTGCCCGCGTCCCTGGCCGTCTACGGCGTGCAAGCGGCCTTACCATGCCCGACAAGTTAAAGATTCTGATGTTGCATCTTTAGACATGCGCTGCCAGAGGATTGTTGGATGCGGTCGATCGACGTACAAATTAATGTGAGTGGTGTGGAACCTGCGCGGTGCACCATCGCGAATATACACTGAGCGTCAAAAGTAAATGAACACCCACTCGACTCTCTCGTTCTCTGCGACCCCCAAGTTTCAAATATCAGAAATATTTGTGCGAGATGCATCGTACATAAGAACGCTAAATTTGAAAATTTGAAAGCTTAAGTAAACTGCAAGAATGTTATGAAAGGATGGCATCTCAACTCACACTCAAGCTGGCACTTCCGACGGAAGTTTGGCCATGCTCTGCTAAAATACCATGGCCTATGCACCCAAAAAAACTGTGTAGGATGCTTCAACCCTTGCTCCTAGTAACCAGAGGTATCCATAAGGGCATGCTCCCCAGAGCTTCCCAGCTAATAATGGATCTTGGCAGCATTCTTCCTCTCACATTGCCTTCCACTGCTGACTCTCGGCTAGGGACTGAAGGCCCCTATTTTCCACTCAATGAGTCAAAAAAAAAAACCTTGCAAATGATTAGCAGAGTTGTGATCAGGACCTCAAGAGGATGAAGGCAACGCATACACACCTTCCTTGGTGGACCGCTTGCATGTTCCCTCTAAAATGTGCTCCAGAGCATTCTTCTACATGGAGATGGGTGCAATTCAAGAACTATGTTACTTCTTAAGACAGCATACAAGAGATTTGCAAAGGTTTGAAATATGATTGTGGGGATTTACAATGCCGGGATCCAATATACTTGACTGATGCTCTCCGGTTTGTCACTTCCCCAGATAATTTCCTCCTCTCAACCAATTATATGCTTCCTAATAAATTGTATTAGATGACAACTCCCTCCTGTGCTATTCCAAGTCATATCATGGACATCTGAGTGGTGGGGAATGCACATGGACTTCTGGGAGAATATGTAACACTTCCGCTCCTCAAATTTCCAGAGCACGATTTTCTTTCATGTAAAATACCTGAAAGGGTCTCA